TTTGGGGGTTAGGGTTGAGGGTTTGGTCGTCCCTGGAGGAGGTTTGGAGGATAAGATTTCGTAGGGATGTCCCCCTGTCGTCGCTCTAGAAGTATTGTACCAAGTACAGGGTAATGCACCACCCCGAAACCCTGTTCTATATGCACTAGGCCCCTATCTAAGTCCTTAACAAACCCATAGAACCTGAAGCAGCCCTATTCTGTAATTCAGACCCAGAATTTGAAGCTTGAAGCTTATAGACGTATAGGAGCCTTGTTGTGATTGTCCTGCAGAAACCGTTATAACAGTCTTTTTGCAACATCTGTTATCAAAACCCTCATATCAAAAGTAATTATTGTACATAGACCGGGCCGAGGCCTAGATGTCCAGCTCGGCAAGATTCGACCGGCATCTCGGCGCCAGGAGTTTTGTTAGAGTCTAGAGTTTAGGTTTGGGGGTTTAGGGTTTGGGTCCGGTTTCAGGTTTCAGGCTGACAGTGTATGGTGGCAAGGAGTTCGTTGGGGTTAGAGTTTAGGTTTGAGAGCTTATTGGGCTTAGGGTTATACGGTTTAGCTTGGCTAGGGTTTCCCTGGCCCTAAACAACCTACTTGCTTAAGGAGTTATATAGGAAATCATCACAAAGGAACCCCCCAAAAATGTAGGTTATGTCGGGCTTAACAAGATGGTTCAGGTTCAGGGGTTTAGGTTCTAGGGTGATTAAGGGCTTCGAATATGTGGGTTTTTGGCTGCACTCGCCCTCGAAGGGTAATGCTTTCAGAATGTGGAGATAAGGTTCAAGAAGTTGCAGATTTGGGGGCAGCGACTTAAACCCGGAGCAATGCCATGTTGCCTCCTGTCTCTCAGTCGGCGGAACTTAATTTCGCAACAACGGGTGTCCCATGTAGCAAACCAAGAGCCACGCAGCTACTATAGGGGCCTAAAAATTACCTATATTATTTTGGTGGATTCCTTATTATACATGTAGTATAATGGGCCCCAAAGCCCTATTCTAGTTATTAAGGCCCCTATATTTCCCGGATCCGGACAGTTTGGTCATCAGCAGCTTCTCCAACTGTTGCTCCCAAGCACAGTCCCCAGGACCCTGCAGCAACTGCATCCCAAACCCTACTATACGGGGCCTAAATTATTACCAAGACTGTTGTGGGGGGTTCCTGATTATAATTTTGGTATAATATACTCCCAAAGCCCTATTCTGACTACTAAGGCCCCACAACCTACGTCCTGAATCCTGCGAGACTGCAAGTCTCCGATGAAAATTTGGAAATCATTCCCAAAGGGTTTGCAGATAGTACCATTCCGGAATTAGGCCCTGAAAAGCCCTTCTAATTAATCATGGTTTTGGGGAAGCTAACTCCATAATAGTAGTACGTATGGATCCTCTTGGATCTGCGATGGATAAAGCGGCCCAACCCTTAATTTGGCAGGCAGATTCCTGATATCGGGGTTGTTTGTATATTGGAGCTTCTAGTAAAGAGGGATCCTTAGCACAACCTAGGATAGTTTAGGGTTTAGGGTTTAAGTTTAGGGTTTTCCTTAACCAAGGGATTCTTGATTAGGCAATCCGCCTTGCATCGGATAAAGGATGCCCGGCACACCTACACACCAAGCCCTCAACACCACCTGTAATCTCCATTGTTGGTCCTTTTTGGGGGTTACCTTATAAGATCCCAGGTCAAGCTTCAACGGCTAACCAAAAAAGGAACTACAATGGAAACTTAGTTTAATTTTGGCTCTAAACCCTTAACCCTGCACCCTAAGCCCTTCACCCTTAACCCCAAAGCCTAAACCCTAAACCCTAACCGCTAGACCCTATCTCCGCATGAACTTACTCGCCTTGGGCGCTTGCAACTTCCCAGGTCATCCACGAGCGCCTGTCTGCTCTGCCGCATCTTGGCAGGAATGGGAACGATAGGGTTCAGGTGTTTAGGGTTTAGGGTTCCTTAATTTAAAGGGGTCCATAGGGGTTCCTTTAGAGGGTTCTATAAGGGCCTCTATAAGGGTTTGGTATAGGGGGCTTAGTAATTAGAACAGGGTTTGGGGGGTATATTATACTATACTTACAATAAGGACTCCCCCAAAACCCTATTCTACTTGTTAAGGCCCCTACATTAATTACAGAGGCTTCGGGGTGTAAGGTTCAGTGGTTGAAGGTTTAGAGATTCGGATCCGTCTAAGTAGGTATAGTGCTCCTTAAGTAGAGTTCCGGAGCAGCTCCCTAGTTAATATCCGTAAAGTCTCAAGCCCCCCCAAACCGCAGTGCTCCATATATGCAACGAATATAGAATTTACAAGTTCTGCCCTGCCAAAAGCATGATGAGGGTGGTCTTTTGGGACCCTAAACCCTGAACCCTAAACCCATGGTCTTTTGGGGCCTAATTCCACGTATGGACCCTCTGGGTTTCAGGGCAAACTTGGAGTGTGCGGCTGTATAACCTGCCGCGTACACGGCTGACAAGCTTTCGGGTTTAGGGTTTAGGGTTTAGAAGGGTTTAGGGTTTAGGGTTGATAAGGGTTTAGAGGTTTTGGGTTGATAAGGGTTCAGGGTTTAGGGTTTGGGGTCTAATGAACCCTCTGCTTGGCCCGCACACCCAAGCGGTCCAAGCGATTCTTTGTGCAGCTTTCGGGAAAACATGTTGACCATAACGACCCTGCGGGTGGTAGCAGGACGAGCAAGAGCTATCAAGCAAACATGGGCCAAAATAATATTGATAACAATAACAACGCAGTAAGCCCCCAAATCGTAACCATCAAATGCAATAGCGAAATCCTATTGCTAGTTGTCCTGACAATCAGAGCAAATAGTCATACACACGGCAATGACGTACAGCCCAACCTCCCTCAACCGCACAGCCCTAAACCCAAAACCCCCAAACCCCGAATACCCTCAACCCCGAACCATGTGGGGTTCAGGCTTACTTGGAGGCCCAGGGGATTTAGTAAGTAGGTTATAGGTAGAGTTATAATTACCCTAACTGGAGTTACCCCAATTATAACCTACTTATAGCCGACTTACTAAGTCCCCTGGGCCTCTAAACCCTAAACCCTAAACCCTAGACCCTAAACCCTAAACCCTAAACCCTAGGTTGAAACCTTAATACCCTCAACCCCAAACCATGTGGGGTTCAGGCGTAAGGCAAAGTCCTTCTCAACCTTCAACACCAGACAAAGATCCTCAGTTGGCTGGTCCTTATAAAGCTTCATAAACCATAACAAAATACTCCGAATTTAAGAAAAAGATCCTCAGCTAAGCCCTAAACCCTAAACCCTAGACCCTAAACTTCGAATGTAAGAAAAGATCCTCAGTTAAACGGTCGTGGAGTCTCTGGGTTCAGGTCTGAGGTGGAGCTGAAGGAGATGGAAGAACGGTTGAGCAAAAGGCGCCCCTGGCTTCTTAAGCTTAGGGTTTAGGAGTTTAGGAGTTTAGGGGTT